GTTATCAAAGTGCAATTTATTCACTTTGATATAGTGGAGTATTACAGCTGTGCATCACTGTGTATCTTTTTAGATATTGCTATATAATGGGGTGGACATTGATGTGGACACATCAAAATGTATTTTCAAAAAACATACCAAATACCCTAATTTTACGTGTATTAAAATAAACTACAAAATACAGCTGCCACGCCATGTATCAAAATTATACAAACAAAACTATTGTATGTTTGTGTTTCAAAATTCTAAACATACTTTTCCAAAGAACCATGAAATCACCTGTTGATCTTCCCCCTTCACCAGTACACTGACTCAGCTGATTAAGTGGACATGGCTTGAGAGCAACAGCTTTTCTCTCCCTAATGAGTTAATAGCCATGTTTCCATCAACGTTTTTAATGCACATTTTGAAGTATTGCATTAGAAAAGGTTGATGGAAACAGCAAAATTCGAAAAAAATCCTTAATTTCGCAAAAAAGTTTTTACGCTCGCTGGAGGTGGTTTTTGCCTTTGTCAAAAAACAGTTAATGCGCTAAATGGGACATAAAAAACACTTTTGCCGAATAAGTTCTGACGTAGTGAACTTGTAACTTACATCTGATTCCGCTGTCGGCGTCTTGCCGGATATTCCCATAACGTGCAGAGACATGGCTGGTAGCAAATTGCCTGCTTGAAGCACATTCCTGAGATCAGTGGCCATCAGTTCATAGCATAGTATCTTGTTTTGAGAAGCTTTTGGAGGTATCAGTACTATTTATGGAGTTTAACTGCATATAAGACAGAAAGGTAGCTACTGCTTGTGAGCTGCAACATGGATGGGTCGACAACCTGCTGTTTAATGGTGCTGCAGCTCAACAATGTAATGACAAAAAGGCACATGTGTGCAATTAACTACTTACACCATCTCGGGGCCTTGTAAAGCAATGTTGTACAACAACATTTTTCACACACAACCGATGAAAACTTAAAGGTCCCATATTAATCTCTTTTTCAGGTTCATACTGTTATTTTTGGGTTTCTGGGTAGAACATGTTTACATGCTTTAATGTTCAAAAACATTATTTTTCTCATACTGTCCATTGCTTCTGCACCTCTATTCACTGTCTGTCTAAACACTCCTGTCTCTTTAATGCCCCCCTACCTAAAAGCCCAATTTCTTCTGGCCAACTTCTGGAAGCCCTCCAAAGGGAAGGCAACCAGCTCACACAGCGCTGAATCGAAGTGTGGGGATAGAGAGCTGTGTCTAAATTTGGATACTTCCGTTACACTAGTACACTGTGCACGCTATCTACTTATTTGCGTAGTGTGGGAATTTCGACAGGGTAGTATTGTCTCAAAACCAAACACTCAAGCCGTTGTGCACTAACCAGAAATGATGATCAAAACATTTCACCGCTTATTCTTTTTAATGGCGAATTGTAACCGGGCAGATCATTATCGCCAACATTTGACCGTGATTGTCACCTGCCAAAATATCTGCCGACTGGTTTGCTCACTTGACTTCAATTCAATTTTATTAAAAATGAACGGAATTGTACTTTTACAGCCGCAATCGCTCCAGCTTCCTTGGACGCCATTTTCACAAAAATAGGTTGGCTGATCCCTCCCCTTTCGCAATGGAGCCACGATGGCAACCATTGAAGGGGAAAAGTGTCCAGCGTTCCACACTCAACCTTTTGAGTGTACCATCAGGGTGCTCATAGTGCCCTGCATTTTGCCATACTTGTCATGTGAATGCACTTATGCACTCAACATTGTAAGTGTATGTATGGAAGGTTGAGACAGCATAGGCCTCACTGATTACTGTACAAAAACAACTCTCTCTCTTTATTCATTCATTTTAGTAAAACTGGATTATATTTAATGGAGAAAATATTTTCTGTTTTTCCCTCTGATGTCCTCCAGCTGTTCTGCCACAACATTCTGTGATTTAAGGAGTTTCCTGATGGACAGATTATTTACTTGTTGTTAGCAGTTACTTTAGCTAATGGTAACTGCCATTAGCTAGTTAGCCATGCAGCTTGTCGTGCTGTTAGCTCACTCTGCCCGGACTGGAAGCTTGGTGCTCCCAGGGTGTTAACACCTCAAATGTTAGTACAGGAGCTTTGGACTGCTGGGAGCGCCCAGTTGAGCAGAGTCAGCTGATAACCGCAGCTACAGTTAGCAGTAGGAAATTATATCAGAGAGCTGAGACAGAGCAGCCGGAAGATATCAGAGGGAAAGCCAGAAAATTTTAACTAAATAATTTAACCACTGAGTGAACTTGAATAAGCCATAGGCAAAACAAGCTGTTCACAATAAATCACAGTAAAGTCATATCTAGCCCAGCGATGGAATGACTGCTTGGTGATGTGTTGTTGTGGAAAGTGGAGAATGGCTGAGAGTGGTGTATTAAGTATATGTGCTGGGCCATCTACTTCCCTGAAGGGATAGTGAGGTCCTGTGTTTCGCAGACTCCTCCATGACATCAAGAAAGGAACCAAATTCAAACGGCGTGTTTGCACACACATTTACTGAAAAACTGAGCAGGAGAAAAAGAGATTTTTTTTCTCACAGTTTGGGAGTTTAGACACACCAGGGACACATCATGTTGAAAAGACATGAAAAAGTATGTTTTGCATAATATTGGACCTTAGCAACAGCGTTAACAGTTAACAGCGTTAACTGTTCGGGCTGCTACTCCGGTCAAATAGTTATTAACATTACGTAAATTTGTAAACGATTTAGCAAAGGCTACTAAAACGGACACCAAAATTTTACAGGAACTGTTAATTATAGCATTTTATGCTAAAAGGCACCAATCAGTAGCAGCATTTTTACGATGTCACGTACACTTCTCATAAACTATTTTATAGTATTTTTTAGGGCTGACCCCGAATAGTCAAAGATTTGATGCTTCAATGGAAGGAGCCTGATTTGACTGTCAATCTCACAGCTGAAGCTTCGCAACGGCGTTATGATATGAGGATCATACCATTTGAGGTGCTCAATGTCTGATTTTAAATAGAACTACCAGTTTTCTCCCAATAAGTCAATTTGCTGCCTATTACAATATATACTTCAACATATAATGCTGTAAATAAAAATGTGAAAAGAAAGAAGCTTTTAATAAATGTTGTAAAAAATGGTGTACTAAATATAAAAAAAATGTACAATCCCCTCCAAAAGTATTGGAACGGGAAGGCAAATTCCTTTGTTTTGTTGTTCACTGAAGACATTTGGGTTGAAGATCAAAAGATGAGTATGAGAATGTCAGCTTTTATTTCCTACATCTAAATGTGTTAACAGGGTTCTTGCACCATTTTAAAAGTCAAATTTAATGCTTTTTAAGATGTTTTAAGACCTCAACAAATATAAATTTAAGACCTCAAATCTAAAAAAAAAGAGATGCGCGTTTGATTTCTTAATGAACGACGCAATGCCACATTTGTCAGTTTTATTTTCACCACATGTGAAAGACTTTGCATATTCCGAATCAGGGAACATAGAGGCTGTTTACACCCGGCATTAAAATGTATTTTTGGTGATCAGACTGTGATCGGGTAGCACTTGACCACATGAAAGTACAGGTGTAAATGCAACCAAGACGCATTGAGGACAGATTGTGATCCAATCAGCAAAACGACCTCTGGAGGTGGTCAGGGACACCATGACCAGATGGATGCAAATGCTTTGATAACCACAAACAGCAACTACTTGGGTGAAAACATGTATCGGCCGCAGTCTTCTGCACATAAAATCCAAAAGTTTGACAGAAGTCTAGACAGTGTATCCATTCAGTGTTGTGCATAAACGTGCTCAAACAGTGCCAATTATTGATCATGCTCAGGTTTTTGGGGAACTGATTGTGTCTGTTTGTGAACATGAACTAGGGCTGGGCAATAAAACAATAATGGTAATTATCATGATACAATCTTCCTCAATAACAAATGTTTAATAAATATTTGATTTAATTAATTTGAATCACAAACGAATTAGCACTTTCTTTTCTATTAGGATATTTATTGTGTTGAGGAAAAGGGACTGAAAAAAGATTTTACTTTATTTTTCTTTGTTTTGAATGTTTTATCTCAGCTTTGTGAAGTGATGAACTGTTTGATACCAGGCTGCTGTTTGGCATCAAGTGTTTGTCATGTTCTGACCGTAAAGAAAAGTTTAAAAGCACAATTAACCATCTGGTTTCTTCAGGACCAAAAATAATAAAAATAATGATTAAATAAAGATTTTTCTATCACAGCCCTATAAAGCAATATAAACTACTAAAAGAAAAGAAAAGAGTAACTTACACATTATAAAGAAAGGTAGCAAGAAAACGATGCCGGACCGAACTTAAGGTTCTCTTTCACTTTCCGGCCGAGCTACTACACAGGTGTGCTGCTACAGAGAGGTAAATAATCCATGGAGGAAAACAAACCACGGTGAAAGACATACTTTAGAAAGTACATTTTTTGGACCTGAGAGGAGGACGTCATGTAGGCTACAGCAGAGAGAAAAGGGTCAATAAGCCTCAGTTTAAATGTACAGCGCAATCACCGCCACACAGACACTCATGTGATTCGACAATCAGTCAACTATAGGCAAGACTATTGACAATTCTGATTTGACTATGTAAATCCTTAGTCGGGGACAGCCCTAGTATTTTTAAACTACAAAATACAAAACACTGAAGTATTTTGATTCAAAATATGAAGGTGTTCATCCACCATTTCAATTACAAATGACAAAATCCTATTTTGTATTGGAAATACATATTTTAAATACATGTATCATAAATACTGCCCATCCATGGCTATTTATAAGTATGGAATAAGTAATAACATAGCTTATATTTCATGTTGTACCAACTGGATATGTTATTTCGCATAGGTGTGTTTCTGTAGATTAAGATTCATGAATACTGTTCAAATTCCTTATTTCATTGTTGCAATGTTAATAGTATAATGTTGTTTACTTAATATGCAAAATAAGACTTTAATGCTCATCAATGAGGCTGAAGAGAAGAACATTTCATTATGTATCTTATTAGCCATTTAGTCAGACTCACTTTTACAAATACATCTTCATTTATTTCACATACATTTTTTTTTTACCTTTACTTTAAAGTTTTCACAATCTAAATGATTCAACAACAAAATGAGGAACTACCACAACAAAGTCCAAATTTCCTACTGGGGAAAATTATGCAAATGTCACTGTAGTAAAATTGACACATGTATTTTGCCAACCAGCAAAGGTACAGTCAAAGTAATAAAAAGAGACAAAAATAGGACAAAAAGGTGGTTCATGTAGGTACTATGACCAATACTGGGTCATCTTTATGATGATCCAAGTGTTATGTTAGATCCTGAACAGTGTTTGAGGACTGATTTTTGCAAAACATTTGCTCAACATTTTTCATAAATAAAATCTTTTTTCTTCTATTTTCATTGATAAATAATATATATTTGTTCATATTTAGGAGTCAATTGGGGGAGCAGGGACATATAATCACCCATATAAGCCCTTCCTGTATCCATGGAAACTTCAAAAGTCTAAAGAAAGTTCTTGCTGAACATATGGGGTATATCAATTTTGGCTAATGCATCCCATGAATATTGCTATGAATAGTTATTTTGAATGAATATGTACATACATGTACATAATGAAGCATTAGGTACACATATGCAATGTATCGAACATAGGAAATTGTGGTCTGTTTCATTGATTTGTTCAGTGAATAAGCATGGCGCAAGACTAAACAAAGAAGGTTAATAGCTTAGATACAAATTTGTACTGTACATGGTTCAGCAGAGTCTGTAGATCCAACCCAAAACGAAATGTCCTTTTTGGACATATAAATTTCAAAAAGCTGATAACTGACACCTATTCCCTTCAGGTCCCCATGGCAGCAGCAGTTATCACTCCTCATCCATGTTGAAGAAGTTTCCTGCTGGAAATTACATAAGAGAATTTCCTACTACGATCTTCTGTATTTGAAACACAGTATCCAAGCATTATGTCAAGATCGAGTGAGATAAGGTACTGCTCATCTTGTTATGATGCCCCAAACTTACTCACTACCACTCTCCCTGGTGCAGTGGGAAGTTCAGTAGTCTGATATTCATAAAAATACATTGTACTTTGGGCAATTCCACAATCCAGAATCTTGGTTCTATATAAGAAGTCACATCATTTTCATGTTAAAACGACGAGGACCAGCTTGTCCCTCTACCGAGTCAACGTTAGTGCCGTTAGACTTTGAGCGAGGCACATATTCAACATCAATGTTGTTTTTATGTTTTCCTTTCCCTCTGCTCCAAACAAAAAGGAGCAGGAAACAAAACAAGACCACTCCCAGGAATGTGAAACAACCCATAGCAGTTGACACTAAAATAGTCTTTAGGTCTAAACCGAGGGTCACACCGGCCGTCCCATTGGCAGTGGTATTGCTGGGATCCGTGTAGTACTGGGTCCTGTTAGCGTACAGTGATCCCAGACTTTTCACCGCCAATGAAGTCATCAGAGTGTCATTCCCAGCAGTGTTGGAGGCAAGGCAAAGGTACACTCCGCTGTCTTGTACCTCTGCTGACTTGATCTCCAGTGTACCATTGTTGTGGACAGTAACCCTACCATGGCTCCTACTTGTCAGAACTCGTCGACGTGGGGACAACCAGGACACAATGGGTCTTGGTGTCCCCTCAGCATTGCAGCGCAGCATCGCCTGCTGGCCCTCATCCACCGTGATCGTTTGAGTTTTATTCTCACGAATTTTTGGCTTGGTACATGTCACGTAGTAAGACAGGAGAGTCTCCTTAAACTCCTTGAAAGGCCTGCCGCGAATACCTTCAGGTGTGCTGCACTCTGGCTGTGAATCCCCAAAGAAGATGGACTGCCTTTTCTGTAGGATCCACATGAGACGACAGTCGCACACCAAGGGGTTGTTGTCAATCAGAAGAACCTGCAGAGTCTCAGGAGACTGAAAAACACCCTTCTCCAGTGTATCCAGTCTGTTGTGAGAGACATTGAGGACTCTGAGTCCCCGCAGGCCCTGGAAGGCATACGGTTCAATGGCGGTTAGCTGAGCTCCAACCAAATGGAGCTCTTGAAGCCGGACCAGTTCCATCAGCATCCCCCCTTCAATGTGCCTAATGCGGTTGTAGGACAGGTTGAGGTGTGTTAGGTAGGGCAGATGCTTCAGGGCTTGGTATGGGAAGGAGGACAAGTTGGTGTTGGTTATGAATAGGCTGGTCAGGTTGAGGCCGTGCAGGGTATTGGCCGGGACATGGTCTAGTGAAGGCCAATTATCAATTTCTAAATTCCGCAGCCGAAACAACTTTTTGAATGAGTAAGGATGCAAAGTGCTGATGCTGAGGTATCGTAGATGGAGGCTGACCAGGTTGTGCAGGTGAGAAAGGGCCTCAGTGGGTACAACTGTAAGGTTGCACCTCTCTAAGGTTAGCATCTCCAGGCTTAAAAGTCCACTGAATGCACGGTGAGAAATGTAAACCAGATCATTGTCACCCACTTCCAAAAACTTTAGATTGTGCAGGTCCTGAAACATGTAATCCAGGAGGATCACAATCTTGTTGTCACTTATATCCAGTCGGGTAAGATTTGTTAAGCCTGTGAAGACGCCCAGAGGAATCAGTTTGATGCGATTGCTCTTGAGACTAAGCAAGTGCATGTTAAACAGGGCGTTGAAAGCTCCAGGCTCAACATAACTGATAATATTTCCACTGAGATCAAGTTCCTCAAGCCCAGGGAAGGCAACAAAGTCATCAGGGTTGATCATTGTCAACTTGTTCTTACTCAGGTCCAGGATCCTGGTCTCTGTTGGGATGCCGTCCGGGATGGTGGGCATGCGCTTGCGGTGACAGACAACTGCCTTGCTCTGGGCCGAACACTCGCAGCGCGAGGGACATCCCAGGGTAGAACTCACAAAGACAGCCACAAGGGCCAGTCCCAGGAATGGTTGCCAACATGAGACAACCGTGTGCAGCATGACTTTGCTCATACAGTCCACCATTCTGTCACGGTTCTGCAAGAAATGGAGAGAACAAAGAGAGAAAGGAAGAGGTTAGTTAGCCACTCAGGATGGACCTTAATTGTAGCTGGGTTTCTTTAGAATGACTTAATATTACAAATAATGTGGCAGGAAAAAATAGCCTACAGTGCCTTTACTAGTTTTGTATAAAATGACAACAGACTGGACGGACCTCGCCGCAAATAAATGTCTCATTCTTGCCATTCTCTTCCCATGTAGTTATTTATCCAAATACAGGACAGTTAAACTACTGGGCTTCAAATTTTGGTGGACATATCCTAATGTTTGAATGTATCTACCTTTTTCCACCATCATTTGAATCTGTCTGCTGTCTTTGTTTTCCTTTCATCCATGGGATACTCATCAAGGCACAACAACGCTGGTGAGTGTTTGCAGTTACTTTGATTTTCTCTAAATCTTAATAATTGTTGTAGTAAAATAATTGTATGACTTCAATTTTGGTGTTTTAACAATTTCACAAAACTTTTTTTGATAGTGTTTACTACAAATCTAAGCCAGATGAACATAGGGTTACTTAGTATGTTCTGACCAAACTTGCTGCATCTTTACTTGACAGTGTTTTTTCACACAAATTATCTGTCTCTGTTATTTGATAATATTAAAAAGACACTGCACCCTATCTTCTGGAAGAAACAACCCCAAACAGGCTAAAATGGCAGAATGAAAGAAATCAATCATGAAAAAAATGCTTGGCCCATTTTGCAGTTCATGGTCTATGTGACCAAACCCAATCAACAAGTAAAAATTGTTGAAGCGCATTATTCAGTGTTGGAAGAATATTATGATTTTGATTACAAGCATTATCATGAAGGTCACAAAAACCAATTAACAAAGGTCTCATGATTAATATTTTTTAATCCAGTTCAGATGTATTAAATCACTTATTCTGGAAATTTTACATCTCCATTCAATAAATCCAATGGCAAACAAAACTCAGTCTGACAGATATGGCCTCAAGTAATTTCAATTTTGTGCAGGGCAAAAATTTATAAAAAAAGGAATTCTTATTTTTACTTTCTGCATTTTTGGGGTTAAAATAGTTTGTTTCGCCCACTTCAATCTAAGTGATCTTGTTAGATGTGTACATACATCAAAATATCTGTCTATTTGTACATGTGGCTCACTCTGCAAAATTTTAATACAAGTTTCTGAGACCTCTAAGTTGTCAACAAGGTCAACAATTACCTATTGTATAATATATTATACATACATTACATTGTACATTACATCAATATGGCACATGTTAGCTGCCCTCTAGTGGATTATCATTGTAATGCAAAAAGTAATCCTTATTTACCAAATTCAATATGACTACTTCCATCCATCCATCGTCAGCCATTTATCCTGCGTACAGGGTCGCAGGGGACTGCCTACTTGTTGTGTAATAACATTTTTAGATGAATTGTATATCAAATATGATAGAGTAGTTATTTCATGCATCTGTAAACCACCTAATCATCATTGTTGTGCGTTTCATAATGGTTTTAATGTCACACAGCCTTGTAATTATTTAATGAAATGAATGAAAGATTCAGTTGTATCTTTATACAACATTTAGAGTGGGTATATATATATATACTTTTCAAGTCACAAATGTGGGAACACTAGACTATTCCAGAAGTCAATAAAATAAAAAAATGATTGATATAATAGCATTTAATACATAGTGATATGCTGGAGTGACATATAAAGTAGACTTAAATATTATAGATTAAAATGTATAATATGTACTGCTATAAATACAGTAGATACACTAAAAAAATTAAAGCTGAATATTTTTTCTATTCTGTTAAATGGTTCAAGAAACACCTTAGTTTTAAAAACAGAATTATTTCTTGTGTCAGGCTTTAGAAGGTTAAAACCAAAGACTGCTGTCATCCATAGATCACTGACGAGCGATTGTGAAGCTCAATGTGGCTCCAGCTGTTGCCTTCTTGGCAGTGCCTGACTCGCCTAACTCTTGGCTAATCCAAAAATGGAGGAGAGAAAGAGGTGCAGTGTTGGTGGATCTAGGGTGGGCCAAATGAAGCCTGGTTGCTGTGTCTAGTCTAATTATGAACTTTAAGCATTAATATAATTTAAATGGGTGAGTTCTTTAAAATTAATTCCAAGTTCGGCATTTTAATATGGGGGCATATGGGGATTGACCTGCTTATTCAGCCAGCCTCAGGTAGCCATTCGACAAACTGCAGCTTTTGGCACCGGTGTTGGCTTCGTTTTTTAGTCTGGGAGGTTGCCGCTTGGTTAAAACACAGCCTGGTCCATCTTAAATCTATTTGTTACGCATAGGTCTACTCATAGGTCTACTCATAGGTCTACTCATATATGTCACATAAGCACTTGCTCACAATGTATCACATAAGCACATGAAGATGAGCAGATATATGACCTGAATGCACTGTTTGCCACAAACAGACTGGGTGACAGGTTGCAACGATTGCAAACCATCCCTGCTTCATTTGGTGTGTCATGGGCTGTGCTAAATTTAACCAATGAGAGGAATAATTTGAATTTCTCTCCAGGCTCTTAACATGCTAAGATATTATGGTGCAAAGATAATATGATGGCACATCCATCTAAAGGAAAACATTATGTAAACCTAAAAAGTCTATTAAATGGACAAAATAAGGAAAATCTGTAGCTTAAAGTGCTAAGTACCAAGCGCTCATTTGTCAGCTAAGTGAGTTGTAAGTGACACAAATCGCAAATTGAAACACAGCATCAAGTATGACAATGTGCACAATAAAACTAGACATTTAACTGTTTTCATACATTTACAATTCATTTTACCAAAATGCAGGCACCACATTCATGTGCTCTTAACAAATGAAACATGGGCAATGTGTGAAGTCACTGGATATTTTCACTTATGTCTATTTCTGTTACATAGCATCTAGATGGTGATGCACTGACTTTGTGTTCGTGTGTGTCATTAGCATATGTTTTATGGATCTTTTTAATGTAAATGTAAATATTTGTTTTTGTTCATGGCATCTACAGTATGTGTATCAGTTACTGATATTCATGATATGTTTTCATTTTTGTATCTTTACTTTCCCTTGTCCCCAGTTTGCTATAAAGCTCTATTGTTACAGTTACTGGGCACCGTATGACTGGCTCTCAGTTGCTGCTGACTTGTATAACATTGCCAAATTTGCACTGGCCTGTTTCAGTGTTCAACAGCTTTATAATAGTTTATTCGTAGTGTAAGGCTAAATCCTTAGTCCCTGCATTAAAAAGCAAAACCTTTTTATATTATGCTCAACATTAATGCTAACATACTAATTGCCTGAGCAAAAACTGTCTTCACAAACACCTGTTATTGCTTCAGTTACTGCTGTTTTTTATTTTGTGTTTTTTTGTAAACATAGATTATGTAGGCTAGATCACAGTAGTAAATAATGGCGTGCACGTGAATAAATCTTTGATTAATAAAAAAAAAAATTAATTAATTAATAAAATTAAAAATTAAAAATATTAAAAAAAAAAAAAAAAAATTAAAATAAATACATTAAAAAAATAAAAAAAGATTGGGGGTCATAGTGAGGTTGAACAACAAAGAGATGGGGTGTGAAAATGGGTGTTGGTATTTAGACACGTCCGGCCTTATCCTCTATTAGCGGTGGTGGGGGTTGATCACCAAAAGGTGAAGACAGGTCTGAAAAGGGGTTTGTGTATATGGGATGTCCGGTGTTATCCTCTAAAAGCGGATGTTTGGGAGTGGCTTTAGCAGTCAGTTGTATATATAGTGGGCTAGTTTTTTGACTTACATCTGACCAAGAGCGTGGAACAGGGTGACTGAACGATTTTTGGGTGAATCCGTATTGGACAGAGCTATCTTCGTGCAGAACAACAACGCCATCTTTGCAGCATCACAATCATGGACGTCACAGGTAATCAATTGGGAGTAATGACTCCAAAACGACGTATAATTATAGATCCTGTTGCAATGAGTATGGCTCCAAGAAAGAAGACTCCCCCAACAGCATTGGCTGATTTTCTGGACCGAAAGGCTTGGCCTCAGTTTGAATGGGCAGTGGAAGATTTTAGAATGTCAGGATTCTTGTTTGAGCACGGATCAGTTCATCTTTATACAAGAGAGCTTGATGAAATTTTTCTTCGTGAAAGCACACCGCACATTAGTTTTTTAGCCAAAGACTGGAATTACTTCAGAAACAAAGTCTGTAAAGATATGAGAGCTTCAAAAGGAGTCTATATATACCACACAATGGTGCGGCTCTGTGCCTGGAGAGCTCTACTGTGTAGAGACAGACCTTGAAGTCTACGATCCAGAATCCTACATCTTTTTTAGATCATGCAAGGACGATTCTATCATTCACAATGCAAGGTCTAAAGAGTGGGAGACGTGGTTCAGGACCGGCTTTGTGGTCCAGTGGGGAGAATGGGATAGAACCCTTGAAGTCTTCTCGCACATTGATAAATTATTCAGATGGTATAAACCTTATGTTAGTTATGTAGGGATCAAAAGAAAACTTTTTGGTCCTGAGGACAAGGAAGATGAACAACAAACAAGTTACGAGGACATGTGCAGCGGGCGAGGATCTATCGAGCACCCCTAAATATTTTCCATTACTCCAGGATGATGTCGTCGATAACTCACGGGTGGATGACTATGGCAAAGAACTGGGGAAAAGAAATTTAACATTTCTCATTCCTGAAGAAAAATCAGAAGAGGACAAGAGCAGGGTCAAGCCGTTTAAGGGTGCCTGTTTGGACGCTCTGGACTGTTGCGACAAGGACACATCTCCTAACACTACTGCTAGCAGTATTATACAGGTAACCGTAGCTTATTATTTATATGACATACTGCAGCAAAAAGCTAAACAAACATGTGTGTATTGCGCTTATACAGATAAATGAAGCAGAAAAATGAAGCAGAAAACAACCTCACACATGCAATTGGCTTAAACGGGTAGTTAGAGTGGAGGACAGTGTGAGCACAATAGTTAAGG